TATGTCTCTCTCTGTCAAAAAAATAAATAAAATCTTTAAAAAAAAAAAAAAAAGAAACACCATTTAGCGTATGGCTTCAGAGCCTTAAATTTGCTCTCCTTTTCTTTTGCTCCTGCACAGTTGTACCTGTGTGTCCAAATAACTTTAGATCAGTCTCTGATTCAAAAACTGTCATTCCTTTCATCACATGAAATATGAGTTATTGATATCAATCCTAAGGATATTTTTTAATGGTGTGATCACTGAGTATGGCAGTTGCATGATTCATATGCCTTTATCCATGTTTTTATACCCTCAAATTTTCAATCCTAAAATAAAGATACTGTTATTGGTGTTTTTATCATATGCTTTGTTCTAAGGCAGTATTAAATTACTACAAGGAAAAAAGAACCAGTTTCTTTATAAAAAATTAAAATAGAGCATTGAATTAAAACTTTATGCTTCTATCCCTGAGAAAGCTTAATCCTCAAGTTCAATATTTTGGACAGGATGGTACCAAGGCATAAATTTAAATTTCTAGACTCCACATAAATCCCTGTGAATTTCCTCAAGAAATGCATTTCTGAGCACCCTTGGGGCCTTTATCTTTTTATGAGAGCCTGAGATTTATAGGAGCCGCTTGAGTGATTATTTTCTCTGGATATGGAATTTAAAAATTATACCATAAGCTTAAATTTAGGGGCTTGGAAAATCTGGATCTGTAAATTTAGAAACATTTTAATTCATCATAAGTCCTTATTGATCCTTCAGTATTGTGTCCAATGACCAGTCATCGATAGCATGCTAATATTGTACTTCTCATACTTAAATGCTATATTTCAGGTGTATTGTTATCATTAAAGATCATCTTGTGCTTGTAGATACATCTGCAGTAACAGTAAACGAAATATGTTAATATTATACACCCCCTTGAGTGGTCCAGCTTACTTCAATTGTACCTAACCAAAATGGAGAAATTTTACTCTACAGATGCTCAGAATAAGCGTATTATTTGCTTCTCATTTAAAATGAGCATGTAGCATGACCTTAGGGATGGAATCTAATGAAGAGGCAGGTGAGTAAAGAGCAAAGAGATTGTAAAAACCCAGTCAGATAATGGGGTGCCTGGGTGGCTCAGTCGGTTAAGCTTCTGCCTTCGGCTCAGGTCGTGGTCCCAGGTCCTGGGATCGAGCCCCGCATCGGGCTCCCTGATCAGCAGAGAACTTGCTTCTTCTCTGCATGTTCTCTCTCTCTCGAATAAATAAAAAAATAAATCTTTAAAAACAAACAAAACAAAATGTAGTGAGACAAATCAGGCCTGTTGACTTTATTTCCCAGACGCAGGTGATACTAGGTTTCTACAAGAGTATTGTCTTATACCTTGTGGACACATGTCCTTCCTACTCAGTGATGGTGAGATAGAAATAGTAAAAAGAAATAGTGTCCCAACAAACATGTTACTGTGCTCATCTTTTTATTTTGGTCTTAGTATCGACTTAGGCTTAATCCTGCACTCCCGTCCATCCTCTACACACTTTGTAGGATCCTTATTGTTATTGAGAAAGCCCCTCCACTAATGCATTGATCGCAGCCCCCCAAAGTGCAGTTCTAGAAGTCCTATTCTGCTGCTTCCTGGCCTTCCACTGTCTTGTAGACCCCGTCTGTGTATCTGTGGCCACCACGTGGCTTGCCCTCACTGGTCACATTTAGCTGCCACTCGTACGCATTCATTCTGCACTTACAAAGAGCCTGCGGTTGACTGCGAGGGTGCTGACATCATGGAAGAAACAAGGCTTTTGTCAAAACATTTCAACTCAGTACTAAAGTTATTTACGACTAAATACAGTGCAGAGTTATTTACCAATGAATACAGCACAAGATTACATTTCTTGAGTACCCTACTCTACCAGGCTCTTTATAGGTGTGATCTCACTTAATTCTCTCATCACCCCTGGAGCCTTAGAGGTTAAGTATCTTGTCCAAGGTCGTCATACAGAACTTGACGAAAGGAAAGATCCTGCCCAGCAGAATACTTCAGTGGGAGCTGATACAGGCTCCTTGGGTAGGATTTGGGTCAATGAAGGGGATGATGGGGAGGGGAGGGATTCCTGGACAAGAGGACGGGAAGGAGCAAAGGCACAATGATAGAAGGCAAGGGGCGTATCTTAGAAAATCTGATCGTTCAGGTTTAGCCAGGAAGGAATGGAAGTTGCGGCTCTGAATTTCTCACAATTTGAGTAAGAAATCACTTTGTGGAAGGACGCATTTCTCTCTGTTTCCATGCAATGAGCCATTCCTGCCCTACATTTTTGGTTCAAACTGAAAGTGATTACAATTACACTTTAACTACAGAAAGTAGGGATGAAATACATAAATACTTGCTAATGACCTGGCCTCTTCTGATTCCTTACCCTTCTGAAAAATCCTTGGTCATTGATTTGTATTGTCTGATTTGATCACTCTTGATTATTCCAAAAGCCTGTACCAAGTCCTGTCTGGTCTAACAAGCTTCAAATTTCATTGGGGAGCTGGTATAGAAACCTATTCATGCATTCATTCTATTTTTAGAACATTGTTCCAGATTATAAGAAACCTACGAATTTCTCTAGACCATTCAAAAATTAATAAAACAGATTTCCTATCTGTTTTAATGTCTACTGATTTCTCCCCACTTTCCCCACGTTTACTTGCCCTCTTGCAAATCCCCTCTCCTTACCTTCCTTCCTCTCTTCTTCTCTGCTTTTCTGTTTTTTTTAGGAGGATTTATTTGACAGAAAAGAGAGTGTGCCCCCTGTGCGAGTGGGGGGAGGGGCAGAGGGAGAGGGAGAGAGATTCCTCAAGCAGACTCCCCGCTGAGGATGGAGTCCTTCTCGGGGCTCCATCCCAGGACCCTGAGATCATGACCTGAGTCAAAATCAAGAGTTAGACGCTTAACCAGCTGAGCTACCCGGGCACCCCTCTGCTTTTCTCTTTATGAATAAACTTTTGAGAGGCTGTCCTCTGGAATCCACTGATAGGCTTCTGGGTGTCCATGAACCCCCTGAAAATGGGTAAATCATTGTGGTATATATGTATGTGAAGTTTTCTTGGGATAATGCCTATAACTTTTTATCAGACTCTCAAAGTAATTTGTGACCTGCCCCCCCCCCGCCCCTTAGCTAAATAAGGTCAAGAAACACTTTATCTTTGGATCAAGTCTCTGTTCCCTAAATCTGATTTTGATTCTCCATTAAGAAGTTAGAGAAGAGAGGGGCTCCTGGGTGGCTCAGTAGGTTAGATGTCTGCCTTGGGCTCAGGTCATGATCCCAGAGTTCTGGGATCGAGCCTCGGGGAGCCTGCTTCTCTCTGCCTCTGCCACTCCCCCTGCTTGCATTCTGTCTCTCGCTCACCTTTATCTCTCAAATAAATAAATAAAATCCTAAAAAAAAAAAAAAAAAGGAAAGAAAGAAGTTAGGAGAGAGATGTATTACTTTTCTAGGATTAGCAAGATAGGAAGACCCTCCAAGTGTAATGTGATTAGATTATTACATACTAACACCTGCAGTTTTGTTTTGTTAATGCATATTAAATTGTGATGGTTGTATCATCTCTAACTCTTCACACTCGAGGATAAATCTAGACTGCACGTTAAGTACCTCTTTTCCCAGGTCACAGAACTGTCAAGTGAAACTTCGAGAGGCAAGACTGTAAAGATGACTATCACTCTGACAAGGGAGCTGCCAGCAAGATCCCCCGTGTGCATCCAGGTCTTCAATATCATCTTCAGAAAGTGAGGAACCTCACACGTCTCTTTCGTTGAGGCTAGCGATGCCGTTCAGTACAGGGCCTGCGTATGACAAGCCTCGGCCATCTTGTGGGCCATGTGCCCGCAGCAGTGTTGTCTGCAGGGCAGTTTCCCCGTGCCTTCACGTAGTTGTGCGGTGATGTGCCCCGCAGTCCCTCACAGCCTCTCACTGGCTTCTGCCTCATCATCCAGTGCTCTCTGAGTTGGTTGGGACAAAGAACTCAAGGGTTGTGCTGTCTCAGTGGTAGCAGGGGTGGGGGAAGTGGGGCGGGGCTGCCTTTTCTTTCTCTTCTTTTTCTGTACCCTCTCCCACCCTCCACCCAGACTGAAAAATCAGGTATGTCTGGGTTGGTCAGCTGAAAGATTTGTTATTCTTCTAGCCTCACCAGCTGCTCTTTGCTCTCGCCCCCCACCCTCAGCCCCCTGCCGCATGAACCCCTGGGGCAGAAGGAAGGTTGTGACTACACTGTCCAGTGTCCTTCAGACTGATGTGGGGATCACTCGCCTCAGGATTATCTCGGGGGTTGTTGGGTGGAACTCCATAAAATGCAGATTTCCTAGCCCCTCACTGGACCTAGTAAAGAGAATTTCAAGAGTGGGGCCTGAAATCCACATTTTTAGCACGCTTCCCCGATGACCAGTGGGAACACAGAGGCTTGTAAACCAGTATTTTCCACACTACTAGTGTGGACCAGCAAGATGATAATAAACTTTCGACACCAGCCCTTTCCTCAATAACGGCCTCTGCACAGGAGGAGGACAGGGGGTTTGGGTTTTGCTCGGTAGGACACATAAAAGGAATCCACCCCCGCCCCCAGATATGTTATTTCTTAATTCTAGTCAGAAGTCTTGCTAAGTAGCTTTAGATCATATTCAACATCATCAGATGGAGGCTGAGGCTCAATGACATTTGGTAACCAAAATCATGTGGTTGTTATCTGTGTTTCCTGACTTGAAATGCTTGCACTTCCCTCATGCAGTGGGCAGCCTCAGATCAGTGATGTGTCCAGTTCCAGAGGTGGCCAGGATTAGTTGCTGAAGAGGCAGCCATGCTATGGAGCCTCATTAGAAAAAGCCTCCCCATCTCAAAATAGGGAAGAGGCCAGAAGAACCTTCAACCATGGCTTGCCTCACCCCATCCATGCTAACCAGAATGTGACAACCACAGTCATATTGTGACCACGTATTTATCATTGCAGTTAAGTGCAAACAGACAAAAATAATTTCAGTTGTATCGTTCTCGAATAGGAAGAAGTCATAATTCTTATGTATACATTCATATGTATATTTAGCATCTAAACCTTCCAGTGCTAAAAGAATGAGAGTTCTATAGTTTCGACATATTTTTAACAGATGTTCAGCACGGGGACAAACTTAGAATTACACTGTTATTACCTGATGTTGACCAAAGATTTAAAAAAAAAAATGTATACTTGTAGGATCTTAAAAAAGTTGGCTATGTACCAAATTGGACGGAACTTCTATAAACCTTCTGAACCAGTGGAAATTCCCCAGCACAAGTACGTTTATTTATATTTTCTGTTACTCTGAAGTTGTTATAATGTGAAGAACATAATTTACAATGCAATCTTATACCATTATGCCTCCTATGAGAGCCTCTGTGTTATGAAAAATAATGGATTTTTTAAATTTTCGAGTTTTTTATAGAATGGAGAACGTCAGTGTGAAGCTAGCAGCCTGTTTTCTTCTATTAGTGTGCTAGCTCGTTATCATAAATCGTAGAAGGAATTCAGAAACTGCGTCTTCTGTGTGTGACAGGTAATAATGAAAGCAGAATAAGCAGGATGATGTTATACCACATAGTTGAAACTCTGTTTTCTTGCTGACAGGAAATTAGCACAGCCAAAGATGGTTGATGTTGGATAAGCAGAGGCCAGACAAACAAGTCAGCTAAACGAAACTGGAATTTCCACTCTAAATGGGAAGTAGATGCTTCAGGGAAAGCCATCAGCTGTGTCTAGGATGGGTTGTTAGCTCTCCAAAATATGTGGTCAAGCTAAAGACAGGAGAGGCAATTGGTAACCCAAAGGCAGATATGTAAACAAAGGAAGGAGTGCATAAAAGATAGAAAATGAGGGGGCAGGCTGTTTAGCCTTCTGCCAGGTAGGGGAAAAATGGTAGGGTTTCCATATGGTAAGTGAGTGTGTCACAGTGGTCTGTATAAAGCATCCTGTTCATCTTCGTCCCTCATCCCCCGACCTAGATGAGAAGTTCTTGTGAGCTGGGCCGGACGCCAGTGCATATGCTTGTCCTAAAGGCTGGCTCAGTAGCATCGTGAATGAAGTCCACAAAATGAACTGAAAGTTTTTCTTATGCACGGCTTCAGTCCATGATAGCCCTAAATGTGAAAAGGGGCTGTAGCCTCTGCTACAGTTTCCCTTGTGTGTTTGTACATGATACCATTTAGATTATTTCTTACTCTCGTGAAGTCTCTACACTGTCTACACCATTGAGTCTGTGTGCTTTTCTGAACCTAGAGGTTTTCATGCTGGCATAGTTCACTGTATAAACCTATCAATCTTACAGCTGTGATTCTCCACCAAGGGCAGTTTTGCCCCCCTAGGGCACATTTGACGGGGTCTGTAAGTATTTCTGGTGGTCACAGCTTGGAGGCTGCCACTCGCACCTGGGGGTAGAGGCCAAGGGTGCTGCCAGATGTCCTCCAAGGCGCAGGGTAGCTCCTGACAGAGAACGACCTGGAGTGCACGTTAAGTACCTACAAAATGTCAGTAGTGCCAGGGTGGGCACACGCTGCTCTGCGGGAATGTGTTTATCGTAAATGCATGTGTAAAGGTACCCCAGCTAGAAATAAGTGAAGTTTTAATCAGCAAGTGGGAGAAATCAGACTAAAGGAAAATTGTTTCATAAAATCTAGAAAATTAGAATGTAAAATCAGCATGTAAAAATAATGATTGTCTTACGATATGACATTTAAAATACGTATTTTTAAATATTTGCTTATTTGAAGGTTGTCCCTTTGGCCTGGGTTTGCAATTTCTGTGTCACAGTTTGAAAGCAGGCTCCTGTTTACTGCTGATGTGAGTTATAAAATACTCCGGAATGAGACTGTTCTAGAACTCATGACTGGTATCTGCCAGGAAACTGGTATGGCCTGCTTTACCCAGACGTGTGAAAAACAGCTGCTTGGGCTCATTGTCCTAACAAGGTAAAAGCGTGCATTTTTAAAAACTTTTCCCTAGGGAATGCATTCTTTATGCTCTTTGGGAACAGGAATAGCATCGGGGCGTTGTCCTGAGCACAGATCTGATCTGTTTACTCACCTGTTTAGACCTGGCCGTTCTCTGTTGACTAGAGTTCAGACTTCCAGGAGTGGCCTTCGGGGACCCTCCACCATCTGACACGGTCCTGCATTATCTCTTGCTGCACCCCTCCCCCACCCCCAGTAGTTTGCACTTTGCTGCTTCAGTGCCTCTGTCTGGATTTTCCACCCCGACTTCTGACTTCTAAATTTCTGTTTGACAAAATCCAGCTCAAACCTTACTGCTTTTCTGGAGCCTTCACCTGTCCACTCAGTTGGAAGTGCTCAGTTCCCTCCCCCGTGCTGTTCCGATAGCACGTTGCTCACAGCCACCTCTTTATAGCCATTTTATTTTGTTTTATTACATCACAGGAGAGAACATTAGGTCCACGGCTCCTCTTATCTGTAGAGTATGAGATCTTTAAGGCTGAGACCTTTCCAGTCCCTAGACTTGTCTCTATATAATTTGCCCACAGTGCACATTGAACTGAATTAAACACAAATTAGGTTACTTCCTGAGTACCAGAAAGCTCACCATGTACTGCTGCTCGTCCACAGATAGTTCTTTTAGAGGACATGCTAGCCTTCTCCTAATCTGGTTTGGAATTTCCACTTAAAGTTGTTTTTCTGGGTTATACAGCAGGGAGGTGGGACTGGTTGAATTCCGTACTATCCTGGATGAGAAGGCCACCCTCTTATCCTCCTGTCCTGATTGTCATGAATTAGCATATCACACTATTCCAAAGTAACCTTGCAAAGTACCAAGAACCTAGGAGAAACCTGACAAGGAGGTTTCTGTCCCGAGGCTGGGGCAGCGTGTGAGAATATTGCAGGCCACACAGTGCCATAGGGGAAATAGAGCTTAGAATGATTTTATCCAGCCTACTTTGCAGTTTCACTAAGGGTCAGCCCCAGATGGTAGATTAAGTGGGATACTCAGATTGCATGGTTGATCAGCCTTCTTTGGGTGCTTTTCTTTCTTTCTTTCTTTTTTAAGATTTATTTATTCATTTGAGAGAGAAAGACCCGGGGTGGGACAGGGGGACAGGGAGAGGGACATGGAGAGAGAGAATCCCCAAGCGGACTCTCCACTGAGCGCAGAGCCTGATGTGGGGCTCGATCCCAGGACCCTGAGATCATGACCTGAGCCACGATCAAGAGTTGAACGGTTAACCGACTGAACCACCCAGGCGCCCCTTGTTTGGGTGCTTTTTATCAGAACAACTATCTGGGAGCTGAAAAACTCTGAATGACACCAGAAGCTGATGGGAAAGTTTTGAGCAATGCTTCAGCCTTTGAACATAGAAGAGTAATTTATAGTGAAGTTAGAGTGTCTCTCAGTGAGAAAGATTGTGGTCTAATGACTTTCTCACCAGTTTTGCTGGAATGTGGAGGTTTTCCTGTATACTGAAGAGTTAATGAATGCTCTTCTCAGATAAAAGCTGATCGTTAAAAAAATGACTATTTGTGTATTACTGTTGTAATTTCTGAAATTCTGGAGTCCAATACTTTGAATTATAACTGTAGTGAAATAGCCACTTTGTCTTGTATGATTTGGGAAAAACGTTTAAAGATTCCTTGCATTTCCCAGATACAATAACAAAACCTATCGCATCGATGACATTGACTGGTCGGTGAAGCCCACACACACCTTTCGGAAGCAGGACGGCACTGAGATCACCTACGTGGATTACTATAAACAGGTTGGACTTTTTTACTTTACTCTCATCTCTCTTCCTCTTTGCTTAGAGAAGTCTCCCCGTTCCTTTCCAAATCTAACAAGTCCCCCAAACTGTCAGTCTGAGTCTGTTTCTGACATCATTCTTCGACTTGTCCCTTCCCCTCTGCCCGCACCTTCCCTGGCTTGGCTCAGACCCTCATCCTGTCTCCTGTTGTCCTTCTTCCTGTAGTCTGAGGAATTTCCCTTCAAAGCATATCTGATTAATGTCACTGCCCTGTTTAAAATATTTCTGCGACTCTCTAGTGCTTTAGAAGCTGTATCTGAGCTCCCAGGCAGGGCCCTTTTATGATCTGGCCACTGCCTGCCTCCTGAGCCTCCTCTCTTACCAGTTTGGTTTCTTTTGTATGCTCTGCTGTGCTTTCTGTTTCTGGTTCCTTCGGTCAGTTACTCCCCTGTGCATTCCCATTCATGCTCCTTCCTCCTCTTGGGCACCCCTGCACAGCCAGCCAATCACTGACCACCCTTCCATCCACAGCTCAGCTGTCAACTCTTAAGGGAGCCCCATGGCGCTCTCCCCAGGGGCCCCTTCCTGCAGTTGGAGGCATCACATTATCACGGGCAGGATGTGAATGGTCTGATTTCCCTCCTGAACTTGGAGCTCTTTATTTCGGGATACTCAGGGCTAGCACAGCACCTTGCACATAGCAGGGACTCAAACATTTGCCTCTGGGAGCTGGCTTCACGACTTGTCACCATTACCTCTGCCCCCACCTTCCATCCGCAGTTCCTTCCAGAGGCTCCTTCTCTTTAATGTACGGTCATATTTCAGTCTTCAAAATCTCACAGATGTTTTCAAAAACAAGAACAAACACATAGCAAGAACTCTTCCTTTCTACACCTTCCAGAAAAGCTTTTTTTTTTAGCTCCTTAGCTGATTTCTTTGGAAGGTCATCTTCACTAGCTCCAAGCACCTCTTCTGTTCTTCCTCCCTGAAACCTCGGTAGTCTGGCATCTGGTCTGCTGCTAAGGAAATAGCTCTCTGAAGGTCAAATTCAGCTACCGTTCTTATTCTGAGGGGCTTTTGGTGGCACTTGACACCAGTGACCCCTCCCACCTGGCTGGAGCGGCTCCCCTGGTGGCTCTCTGCCAGATTTTGTTCCAGTCTCAGCCTCCTGAGCTGTTTCGCCTTCCTTTTCCCCACATGTTAAATGCTATTATTCACTATGGCTCCCTCATGTATGTCTGATCTTATCTCGAGACCTCTCAAACAGAGTATTTTTGCCTTGTCCTCATTCCTAAATTATAGACTCATCTCCATTTTCAGACCACATTTGCATGAATGACCTGCAGGCATCTCAGATTAGCATCGTTCATAACGAATTCATTGTCTTTCCCACTCCCATTTCTCCTTGGGAATTCAGCTTCTTCCTTCCTTCCTCTTTTTTGTTCTCATTTGCCTCCTTTGCGCTTGGATTCTCCCTGGAACCCATCCCTCTCCCCAGCCCTCTATCACCACTGCAGGAATGCAGGACGCTCACGGATTCCCATCTGGGGGATTTTGGTCACCCCTTTTTGGTGTCCTTGCCCCAGCTCTGTCTGCACTGTGACCATCATCCTCACTGCCACCAGAGGAGTCCTCCTGAAATGCCTCCCAGAAGGGTGGTTAAGAGCATTAGCAATGGAATAAGGTAGTCCCAGCACTGGCTGTGTTACCTTGAGCAAAGCACCAAACTTGGAGTGTCCTATGTAAAAGGGAGCCATTGACCTGCCTTCATGGTGCGGGGCAAGCACCGAGTGAGGTAACCATGCCTACAGAGCTTTCAGCCGGGTACCTGCACACGGTGAGCACTGGATCCATGGAGGAGACCCGCCCCTCTTTTCCCAGCCTCCCCTTCTTCTCCTCCAGCATCACACCCTTTGATCCTGGCTCACCTTTTAGCCTCATCTCTCCCCGCCTTGCCACCAGGCACCCCATGCTGCTGTCCCCCCATCCACTCACTGTCGCTAAGCGTTTCTCAGCCTTTGCTCATGTTCGCTGGACATCTGCACCAGCCCACACCGCACCTTTCCCCTTCAGCACCAGCTGATGCCCTAGCTTTGAAGTCAAATGTGACCTCATTTGTGAAGTCCTCTCTGACCGTGCTTCCTGTCACATTCACAGAAGAGCTAGCCGTTCCCTGAGCACTTGTTCCACGCATCACACGTTGCTTCTAGAATGTCTTCCTTGTAGAACAGGGATGGCATTTGGCTAACCCGTGATGAATAGTGCCTACCAAAGCATCTTGTGCCTAATGTGCTCCATAAGTGTTTGTTTATTAAACACCAAGTTTGTTGAACAATCGGTTTCTTTCTTGCCTGAGTAAATGTGTTCTTTGAACAGAGGTATTTTTAGGATCTGTGACATTCTGAAAAGGGAATCGTGTTAAAATCCCACTCACTTTCTTTGCAATGAGTTGTGCATCACTGCATGTTTATTGTAATTAGGGAGAAAAAGAAATTGTGCCAATTCTAGAATGTCTTCCTCTCTGTCTCAGGGAAGGAACACTAAATTACTATGTAGTCAACTCTCACAGTGGACATCTTGATATTAGCCTTTATATTTCCCTATTTTATCTTGTGAAAAACATTTTCAAATGCTAAGAAAATTAGGGCAAGGGAGAGAGTAAAGTTCACTTTATGATACAGCTTACGGTGCAGAATTTTTGGCCATGTCCCAGGTGAATACAATACCCTCTTTCTGGAACATGCCCCAGCTTTGCTACCGGGACTCTTTATACTCCCATATTTTCTTCAAGGTGCTCTTTTGGACTCTGCCTCCTTCATGAAGCCTTTCCTGATTTACCAGCCATAAATTGTTTCACTGCCACCACCATACCCCGCCCCTCCCTTCCTCCCCAGGCACCCAGTGCTGAATGGTGTAACAAGCAGAGGTTCCCAAGTCTTATGGGATAAATCCTGGCTGTGCTAATTTCCAGTTATGGGACCTTGGGAAAGTTGTTTAATTTCTCGTGGGCTTCCTCATCTGTGGAGGGGATGATGATAGTATCTGACTCATAGGTGTAGTGTTAAGATTAAAAGAGGAAAAATACAAGTGCTTAGCCTATCATTATTGGTGCTTCTCATCTCCCTTGCTTCATAGATAGTGTAGTTATGTGTAAGGTAGGGGCTGTACCTCTCATCCTTGTGTCCACGGCAGCTCCTGGAACATAACAAGAGGTACACACGAGATGTGTACTGAATTAATGAAGTCATGTATAAAAACTCTCCTTCTAGGAAGACTTGCCCAAGCTTTTCAGCTGGAGCATTAGTTGCAATCAGCCCTTCGAATTGCAATTTCCCGACCGGTTTTTCTTTTAATGACTAGAAGTCCTTATTGAATAGAGAAACTCCCACTTCTCGCTTCCTTAATTATAATTATTGATGTCAGCATCATATAGTGCCCAGACATTTGTAAATTATAATTCCAGTTGTTCTGTCATTAATGTTGAGTCAGTTATACTGGAAATGAGTGTTAATTGGAACCTTTGCTGTTGGAAGGGAAATGAACTTTTCAAGGTGAGAATGTGGAAATTCAAGGGGGGGTGGGATAGGGATGAACAGTGGCGGAGGACTCATTATAAACCAGACACTGTGCTAGTGGTTTATGTCAGATGCCTCTGAGCTACTGTTCACCTCATTACATGCCTGAGGAAAGGTAAGAAGCTTCCCCAGTGTCACAGTCCAATGAAGTCGAAGAGCCAAGGATCAGATTTACATTCGTCAGACTTCAGAGCTGCTTCCCTAATAACATCATGCAGTTCTAGAAATCAGGGCAGTCATGCTTTTTTGGGACATGGAGTTGACTCAGTATAACTCTTGCCTCCAATTTTAGAAATTTTCAGAATGAAGACAGATGCCTGGAGCAGGTTGGTTATGCACGGAGCAGTCCGCCTCAGTCATCAATAGTGGGAATGCTGACGCTGACTCAGCTCCGGGGGC